GTTTCATTTTGTTTCCTTTTTTTCAGGTACCTACATCCCACAAAAGGAGGTAGAGGTTGTGCAGACCATCCAAGCCACCGTCATTCGGCCCAACCAAGCCATAAGACTTCAGGCGCGGAAAGAATGCAAGGACAGAGAAGGGAATAAACGTGTGACAGGTAATCTTGCTGCCCTTCCTACAGTATTCTGTTGGCTTCTTTCTTTTCAGTATGACTTATCTAGTACCTCCCTTTTTTCCTCAGGCGAGGAGTGGTTAGTGAAACGGGTTGGTGCTTACCTGCCTGGGGTTTTTGAAGAAGTAGTAGATACTGTGGATGCTTTCATCCTGACCGAAAAGGTGAGTGGTTTGTTTGCTTCCCCTAATGGTGAGTGAAATGCCTCTCCTAAGGTCTCTCGTAAGCTGCTTTGTATCCCAATTTTGGGGGGAAAGCAAAATATAAATATAACAACAACAACGAGGCTGTTTCACACTGCACAGTTCTAACACTTTGATATCACTTTAACTGCCATGGTTATATCCTTGGGAACCTTGGGATTTGTCGTTTGGCAAGGCACAAGTGCTGTTGAGAGAACTTTAAGTACTACATGAAACTACAAGTCCCAGGATTCCATCGCGGAGGGTCATGGCAGTTAAAGTGATATTAAAAGGCTTTAATTTTGTGGTGTGAAAGGAACCATACTAACCTACAGTAAGACCTTTAGGCCAATATATGCTGATTATTTTTGATCCCTTCCTTTTGCCCCATCCACATGAGGAATGTGACCCCTGAGGACTTCTCTGAAACTGAATTTGGCCCTTGAGCTAAAGAAGGTCTTTTCCCTTGCTGTGATAAATAAGGTAATGGCAAAACCTTTGTGAGTGGCAGCATACAGAAAGAGAAGAGCTTAGAGACAGAGGCTGGCATTCTGCTTGGAACATGTCTTCAGAAATGGCCTTAATGTATGCACAAAATGGAATTAAGTAGTTTTGCAATGTCTATGTTCATTTAGAAGCTGCTGTAATTCTGCAATGTATGAGGTATTCATTGTGCAATGGTAATTAGCGGGGTGACTGATGCACCATGGCCTGATGTAGAATGGGCAGCAAAGCACATTGAGAAACACCCCAATATTTTATTTATTTATTTTATTTCTATGCCACCTTTCTCCCAGAAAGAGACCCAAAGCGACTCACAAATAAAAACACATTAAAAACTTACTATAAATATAATATACATAATTCAATATGTATCTGGACACCAGTTAGGAAGTATCAAAGTACAACGGGAATGCCTGATGTTCATCTGAAGTACCCACTGTGCATCAGTGCCCAGTGCCCAAGTGCAGAATTTGCAGTTTACTAACAGGGTTTTGTTGCATCTCTGCAACATAGCTACAGATTCATGAAGTCATGAAATGCAGACTGTGATGTAGGATCTCAACCAGAGGAAAAAATTTCCTGGGACAGGGCTGGGAATTGTGCAGATTATGAGCCATTTGTGCACTACCAAGTATGTTTCCCCCCCACCCTCCATTGCTGAAAAAAATGCAGTCCCCCTAGTAGAGAGTCACACTTCTGGAAATGCACAGGAGCATGATTCTCCATTTTAGACATCAAATAACCTCTTCCCCAAATAAAGGTTGACCATGTGGTCATTTCTTGTTTCCGAAAAATGGGAAATGGTGTCTTCAGGGAGTTACTGGGTTGGAAAAGCGAGAAATAACATGGGACATGGGAGCCAGCGTGACGTAGTGGTTTGAGAGTTGGACTATGACTCTGTGGACCAGGGTTCAATTCCTAGCTTGGCCATCACACCCATTGAGCGATCTTGGGCATGTCACATGCTCTCAGCCCCAGGGGAAGGCAATGGCAAACTCTTCTGAACAAATCTTGCC